AACCGGATATGCTTCCGCAATATACGACAGGAACATTTCCCACGCTTACTTCAAACCTACGCTGTCTAGGCCAAACCACATACGATATTGAACCCCATCTACGTGGGCCCATATTAGTTGATCCGACACCGGGGCACTTAATTTTCCTCCTTCGGCATTGGCCGCGCCGAAAACATATCTGTCATTGTGCAGCTTAAAATATCGGCATTTTGCTACGCTAGATAACGGTGCCCTTGTCTGGCAGTATTCTACTACCTTATTCAAGTTTATAGCTTCAGTTATTCCCTCCGCTTTGATCAGAAAATCAAGCTTCGATTGTCCGACTTTTCTGCGACCTTGGGCTGCTGTTCTGCATTTTAGCGGGAAATAAACAACCATTAGTACCTTATCTGTGCATAAACGCAATTGGTTATTGCACATAAGCTTTACACAAATATTCGTTTTCTTAAAATTTTTATTTTACGCTAGTCGGTTGGCTCGCTACGAAGATGCAGGCAGGCGCCCCTACTTACTGGTTTTTCGTTGTTTATTGGGGCATATTTCCAGAGCTTCTCTAATATTCATGTGCATCACGCCACCATCAGTTACTATATTTGGCACCTACTGTCCTTATCTCCTATTGGTCCAAGGGCTGTCGCAAATTTGAAGGCGGCGAATTACTCAATTACCTTTGTTCATTTTTCAATTAACGCGCCCGCTTCGGTTGCAATATACAGACGGAGGAAAGGAATTTCACCGTTTTCGTATGCATTTCGCTCCCCCTACGTGGTGATGCTTCACCCGTAACACCCCTATTACGACCGTCCCCGTGTTACACGATCCTGAGGCTACTAGTTGCGAAGTGGGGTTACACAACCTACCGTTGCCGAGGTCAGGGACATTTTTTCTAATGCAGATGGCTGTTTGGGCCATACTGGTAGGCTTACTCAAACATGAAACCGCGTTGTCAACGAATATGAACGTTAGTCATAGAGATGGCCTGGATCAAGTAAAAAACCACCTCCGACGTCTCACCTCTATAAAAAGCGCCTTGGCCAGGCATCTCGCTGGCGCATGTCTGCGTACTTTGCCTTTTCCCAAGGTTAAGTCGAGATAAAAATCAACACTTCTGACCGGCTTTTTCAATTCCCTAAAATAAGTGACAATTCTTCTACTGCATACGAAAGAACCCACTTTTGGCCTTTTTCGCCATATTTGTCCACTATCGAACCCCGTTCTAAGATTGCAAGTGCCCAACAAAGTGGCCGTAAAAGTACTAAGATATTTCTAAAACTCCTAGTACTCTACCTGGCCCGTCCATACATTACTTGCTAACGGAAACTAGAGCATAGAAAAGCATTATGTCCTGTGCGGTAAGTTGCCGAGTATGCGTAAAGAGCAAGAAAATATCAGAACGTCCAAACAAAGGATTACCGTAGGCGCTATTACCGTAGTTTGGGCATGGAATCACACAGATTGGCAAACATGACTCTTCAAAGTGGGCAAAACTTCTGCTTCCCTAAAAGTAGCCTGCTTGCTTTATCTGATTTATGCGGCGGTAAAAAATCAATTCCCAAGGGAGGCAAGTTCCGTTTGGTAAATCTATCGAGTCTGGATTGCTCTCTGTCTGCAAAGAAACACGCACGGCTGTGAAACCGTTAAAATACACGGTAACGTAAATTCGCAAAAACATTTGCAGACATTCTGACTGGCACAATTATTTGTTAACATATTGTGCATGTAAAAGCGACATGCTCCGAAATAGGCTAGACAATTAAGTAAAATATGCAGCATTTAGGCTGCCTCAATTTTGGTCGTTCAGCTCATATATGCCAGACCGGCTAACGTCTAGGGGACGAGATATTCGCAAATCAAGCCCCTTGAGGGCCCGCGTAATAGAAAAAACCTGAAAGACTGCGCAACAGAGACCGAACTGATGGCATTCGTCCATCGCCACTTACGATAACCAGCCTCTTCCCGGGTAAACAAAACCCCCGCACACACATGGCATTAAAGAAGGAAACAGTGTTATTCCACAGCCAAAGTACGACCAAACCGTTAGCAAAGAGCTGGATAGCAGAAAAAACTGCAAAAAAGCGATGAAATAAGATGATGCATGCGCAGAGTTAACAGACATTACTGGGGACAGGGGTGGGAGCTATGGCACAAGTCACTCGGTCGACGCAGATGAAGAAATTGAGAAAAGCAAAAACATGATATTAAGGTGGCCAGCCGGCCATGGTGAGACGAGATGCAACCGGAGCAAATAAGAGGTCATAAGTTATCAACGGTTATGCCTATCATGGCATATAAAAAACGAAGTTAAAATAATGAAAAAAGACAAGTAAGTAGACCTGGGGACGAAAAACAACTCGAAAGCGTGTAAAGAAAGATGGCTGGGGTAAACTTCCATGGCGCTGTGAGCCAAAAAATGGCAGCAGCAAGGGATGTGGGGAGGGGGAATGGGTGGAGCCTCAGATCATTTGATTGGTTGATTTCAAGTTGGCTAGAACTTGAGCCAGGATGGTCCAATCGTCGGCACCAGGTGTCGCTAAGCTCTCGGCGACACTGCAAACGCGCACGTGACCCTCGTCGTCCCCAACGGCGAGGAACAAACCAGTGCTGTCCCACCTGGCCTTGTGGACTGCCGCAGGCTCCGAGCAGCCAGGGTTTACGGGTAAGTGGGTTCGAGCCGTGGGGACCTGAAGTAAGTCGTCGTATAAAATGTTACTACTGACTCGAAAAAAAGTAGTTCCTGATATGAATTTAGATAAGTTGGGAAGTCGTACCTCCAAGTCATTGTTCAGGTTCCACACGTCGATACGGCCCGTTCCATCCACAGCGGCGAAAAGGGCCGGGTGGATAGGGCTCCAGCAGACGTCATACACGCACTCTGAGTAGTCGTCGAAGACGTTCAGCGGTGTCTGCTCGCGAACGGACCACAGCCTGACCGTCCAGTCCAAAGAGGAGGAGAGGAAGAGATTGGAGTAGCTCACCGGTCCAGGACTCGGATGGGTGCAAACGCTGGTCACGAAGGTTGAGTGACCTTTGTAGGATTGACTGCGCGAATTACCATCTCCAGTGCCCGAACGGCTTTAGGTAAAACAAGCAACAGATGGGTAAGTCAGAAGGCGGTCAATTAAGTCGGTACGAGAATGGAGTCCGCTTTTAAACGGAGAGTGAAAGAAAAGAAAGCATTGTCACAGTCATTACGACTGCAATCCAACTCGAATCGGGAAAAATAGTGGTCCGAGCGCGGTTTCCATGACCGATAGCTTTATTAACGGATCAGACACAGTGAAGTCATAAAAGGAACAAGTATCAACCAGGAGAAGGAAGGGCACCTAACGACCTTTCGAGCCAAGAAAGCGGGCTGCCTGGAATTACAGAAGACGCGCCCTTCCTACGCGCAAATGACAAGCAAAACAACAACACTGGTGGTGCAATAGGCGCACACGGTCACTGAGCTCGGGGGCACGACAAACCTAGACCAGGCAAAACTGCATAAACAGCCGAGGGCTGAAGTCTGAGAAACAGGGCGGTGACAAGGAATGATGCCTGGAGTGAGGGGGGCAACCACCAGCACTGATATAAAACAGTGAAGTCTCAAAATGCGATTCTCAGGTGGCATATCAAAGGGGAAAGGAGGCGTTCACCAGGCGGGGTTTATTAAAGGCCTGACGTTCCGAGTAGTTGCTTCGTTTACCCATTTTCAAAAACTGAGAAGTCGTCCGCACAGCCCTCCTTACAGTGAGTGACCGATCGCATGAAATGTTTGCTGAAATTCTGAAACGCGTTTTCGATTAGGAAGGATTACTTTGGCGCAGTTGCAATATTTATTACCTTGCGGCACAATCTAATAACAATGCGGACTCGGCAGGATGTCAGCTTTTGAATACACTGCTTTTCAATCTCCTTTAGAAACCGTACTCGGTAAAAAATGACTACCTTAGTAACATGCATTTTCTCATTGATTTTCGATGGTCTTGCAAATTCAAATGTATCTCATTGAAACCATAAACAAGAATATGCTTTCTTTCAATCAACTAACAGAGAATCACGTCTTCTTTATATTTCATACTCAAGGAAGCAGTATAATTAGATGTTCAAAACGTTTCTGATCACGAGATTTTTTAAGACCGCGTAATGTCTATTCATATAGCATCGTACCTGGCCGTTTACCACAGCTCCTCATGAAATGTACAACAAAGTCCGGATCCATTGCAAAATTGTATGTACTCTGTATGATATCTTTTTAATGGCATAGAAAGATATGTGATTTTCTTTGCGCGGAACGCATGCACCTTGTGGATTGAAATCACCAAGCGCTAATGCAACGAAGGATCAGGTTCCACATTATTCGGCAATGAAAAAACTTTTTAAAACCTAGTTATACTCCTTCCTTGAGTATGAAATATAAAGAAGACGTGATTCTCTGTTAGTTGATTGAAAGAAAGCATATTCTTGTTTATGGTTTCAATGAGATACATTTGAATTTGCAAGACCATCGAAAATCAATGGGAAAATGCATGTTACTAAGGTAGTCATTTTTTACCTAGTATGGTTTCTAAAGGAGATTGAAAAGCAGTGTATTCAAAAGCTGACATCCTGCCGAGTCCGCAATGTTATTAGATTATGCCGCAAGGTAATAAACATTACAACTGCGCCAAAGTAATCCTTCCTAATCAAAAACGCATTTCAGAATTTCAGCAAACATTTCATGCGATCGGTCACTCGCTGTATATGACGAACTTTGTTTGACGCGTGACCCGCCAATGCCGCCTGTCTGGCTGCATCCGACCGTGACCTGAATAGCCTCCAGCCTCGTCGACCATGGAGAGAGTTGACGGCCCCGATTGTCCCGCGTCGTGACTGCCCCCCGTTAAGAAAGTTCGTAAAGTCAGATAGGGTGGAGGCGACTTGATGTGGCGGTGGACAGAGTAGTCGGTAGACATCCAGGCTTCTTGCATCTGCCTTGTTGTATGATCATCGCTCTGGCCCCCAGTCTCAACGGCCTCAAAGTTGACGATGGGTCCCATTTGCGTAGCATGGGTTGCTACCTCCGACTGTTGGCCCAACCTTCGCACATGCATTCGCGTTTGCAGCCGTCGGCCGGTTTCCCCAACGTAGTTGCATTTCCCGCAGCTGCATTGAAGTCGGTAGACAACAGCCGACATCTCCCGCTTAGGGATCGGGTCTTTTGGCCTCATCACTTGCCGGCGGATTGTTGAGTCGGACCTGTGGGCAACACCTATTCCGGGCGGCACGATGGAACTAGCCACGGCTTCGGAGACCCCTTTCATGTACGGAATGCTGTGTCACGATTTTGGTTGACTATGCCATTCAGTCCGCTTGCTTGGTTGCTTTCGTCTCCGTTCAACGAATGCTAGCGGAGAGCCGTTGGCGAGTCACACTGGAAAAAAAAGGAATCAGGGTCTGTGGACTACCTGGCGGCGGAAAAAGAGACGGAGGGTGGAGAGGCTTATAGCTTTTGAAAAAGCCGACAGTCTAACTTGGTCACCTATAGTTGTTTCGGTTTTTGAGAAGGGCGACATGCAAATGAAGAAGCCGCGAAAGTGGCCGATCGAGGGCACGTCGAAGACCTCCAAATTTCTCCTTTGCACCGTCGTATGCATGCCTATCCCAAGCCGTCCAGGCCACATATCGGCTACAATACTCCCCGCCAACCTGCTCCACCCCCTCCCCCCAGCAAGGGATGTGGGGGGGAGGAATGGGTGGAGCCTCAGGTCATTTGATTGGTAGATTTCAAGTTGGCTGGTGGGAGGGGAGCAGGTTGGCAGGGCGCCAGTGGGAAAATGTACACAGGTGACGCGAAAGTTGCTTTTTCAGATCCTTTCAGCACTCATGTCGCTTAGCGGCCAGTAATATATGCAAAAGAGAGGACTTTGCGTGTGATGAGTGAGCCTCGGATAGCGAAAACGACTCCTACAAAGTAAACGAGGCGAGCCAACGCCCATCTACCACTGCATTCACCCGATTGACATCGACAGGACAACGAAACCCTGGCCCAGTGATCAGAGTGTTGGCTTTCTAACCAACAAGTCGCGGAACCGAGCCTCGGGGATTGAGTATGGTCACTCCAGTCTCCCTTGTCTTTGCCAGTAATGTTACTCTGCTATACTATGCGCCGCTGTACCGCAGTTGGCAGGGCACGAGAGAGCCCGGAAAGCAAAACCGGACGAGTGAGTTCCGTAGCGCTGTCGGTGAGCGCCACCCTACCATTGTATGTACAGTAGATGTGCTAACTCATGAAATGTCAACCAAAATTTCGAAATGCGTTCTCGTCTCGTAAAGATTAATTAAGTAGTGTTGTAAAACTAATCATGATGCAGCATAAACCTGTAATGATACAGTTACCTCAGGGTTTCGGCTTTCGGAAGAACTTATTTTCCGCTGCATGCAAGATCTATACTCTGCAAAAAATGACTACTTAAGTAGCATGCAATTTTGTCATTGATTTTCGATGCCCTTGAAAATTCAATTATATTTCGTGGGAAACATGCATAAGAACATTCCTTCTTTTACTTAACCGGTAGAAAATCACGTCTTCTTTCAAATTCATACTCAAAAGAATAGTATAATTCGGTTTTAAAAAAGTTTCTAATTGTGAGATTTTTTAGTACCGTTAAATGGCCGTTCATGAAACGTCATGTATCTGCATTTACGAATGTGGCTTGTAAAGTTAACAATATTGCTCAAATCCACTGCTTAGTTTTATGAACCTTATATGGTCTCCTCTTAACACCGTAGAGAAATGCATGATTTTCCGTACACGGAAAATATACAGCTTGTAGTTTTGAAACCCTGAATGCAAGTGTAACAGCAGGTCGTGTTCAAAATTATTCGGGAATTAGAAAAGTTTTTTAAAACCGAATTATACTCTTCTTTTGAGTGTGAAATTGGAAGAAGACGTGATTTTCTACCGAATAAGTAACAGAATGTATATTTTTATGCATGTCTTCCATGAAATATAATTGAACTTTTGACTGCATCGAAAATCAATGAGAAAATTGCATGCTACTTAAGTAATCATTTTTTGCAGAGTATAGATCTCGCATGCAGCCGAAAATAAGTTCTTCCGAAAGCCGACACCCTGAGGTAACTGGATCATTATAGATTTATGCTGCGTCATGATTAGTTTAACAACACTACTTAATTTATCTTTTCGAAACGAGAACACATTTCGAAATTTTGGTTGACATTTCATGAGTTAGCACATCTACTGTATGTACCAGAACGCAACCGACAGGACAACGAGCCCGTGGCTCAGTGGTTAGGAGCGTTGGACTTCTAACTAACAGGTCGCGGGATCGAGCCCCAGGTGTTCCACACTTCGGGGTTGGGTATGACTGGCTGGCGACAGCTAACAAGCCAGAAATGACCACTTCAATCTCCTTTGCCTTTGTCGGTAATAAATTCTACAAAGCATATTTACATTTATACGGGCATAGCATATAAATATGCATTACGGACTCTCTCTCTCTCTCTGGTTAGAGGCGCGGACTTCTAACTAGCAGATCGCAGGTTCGAGCCTCGGGTGTGCCACACTTCGGGGTTGGGTATGACTGGCTGACGACGGCCGATAAGCCAGAAATGGCCATTCCAGTCTCCCTCGTCTTTGTCGGCAATGCTATTCTGCCTAAATGTACTGCTAGCCGCTGTGAGGCCGCGGGGCTTGAGACCGGGGCGAGTGTATCCCGTATCGCAATCGGTGAGCGCCCCCCCTACACCACCGGAAAAACTGCTCAAATCGATCAGGACAGGAAGTCTGGGAGACACGGGGGGCTGATCCGTGTGGTATTGACGCGCGTCTGGATTAGGTCGATCACGGAAGTTTGATCATCGCCAGCAACAGTGTCCCACGAGGTGGAACCTTCAGCGGTGAGTTGCGAGTTCGTTTGTTTGTGGTGCATTTGACTTGCTATGCATCTACCTCACCGCCCCTTCCCACACCGACCATGTTTTTATAGCAGTGCAGATTCAGGACGACCGAGGTGAGCGTGGGCGCAGTAGCTGACAAGGCTAAACAGCCCGTCTGCACATTCCGCTCAAAATCTAGGCCGCAACTGCATGCATGCCAGGCTTCATTCGGGAGGGCGGAGGGTCTCAAATCTCACATACAGTAGACGTGCTAACTCATGAAATGTCAACCAAAATTTCGAAATGCGTTCTCGTTTCGAAAAGATTAATTAAGTAGTGTTGTAAAACTAATCATGATGCAGTTACCTCAGGGTGTCGGCTTTCGAAAGAACTTATTTTCGGCTGCATGCAAGATCTATACTCTGTAAAAAATGACTACTTATGTAGCATGCAATTTTCTCATTGATTTTCGATGCCCTTGAAAATTCAATTATATTTCATGGAAAACATGCATAAAAATATTCAATCTTTTACTTATTCGGTAGAAAATCAAGTCTTCCTCCAATTTCATACTCAAAAGAAGAGTATAATTCGGTTTTAAAAAACTTTTCTAATTCCCGAATAATTTTGAACCCGACCTGCTGTTACACTTGCATTCAGAGTTTCAAAACTACAAGCTGTATATTTTCCATGTACGGAAAACCATGCATTTCTCTACGGTGTTAAGAGGAGATCATATGAGGTTCATAAAATTAAGCAGTCGATTTGAGCAGTATTGTTAACTTTACAAGCCACATTCGTAAATGCAGATACATGGCGTTTCATGTACGGCCATTTAACGGTATTAAAAAATCACACAATTAGAAACGTTTTTAAAACCGAATTATAATCTTCTTTTGAGTATGAAATTGGAAGAAGACGTGATTTTCTACCGGCTAAGTAAAAGAAGGAATGTTCTTATGCATGTTTTCCACGAAATATAATTGAATTTTCACGGGCATCGAAAATCAATGAGAAAATTGCATGCTACTTAAGTAGTCATTCTTTTCAGAGTATAGATCTTGCATGCAGCCGAAAATAAGTTCTTTCGAAAGCCGACACCCTGAGGAAACTGGATCATTATAGATTTATGCTGCATCATGATTAGTTTTACAACACTACTTAATTAATCTTTACGAGACGAGAACGCATTTCGAAATTTTGGTTGACATTTCATGAGTTAGCACATCTACTGTATATGAGAGCTTTCGTAAAGGTTGTCTTGATCAGGAGGTATCACAGACCCTTCTTCCAGCTTCGAAATAATGAGGCTATCAGTCCGCCGAGAGAGTGGTCACGGAAGACGCAGATGCGATCACTGGAACAAGAAATTTATTGGCCAGACGTCTCGGATTCTCACTCGAACCCATCATCAGAGACAGTCGCAGATACGGGTAATGGTGGCAACCCAGCGGTGATTGCGACATGTGACTGATTCCCCTGCCCAGGGGGAAATCTGAGCATAGAATACGGTAACGAGAGGTCATTACGCAATGACAAGCCATTATGGCATCAATTACGACCCAAGCGGTGATTGAGAGAGCTCCTAATCACAGTGCGCATATGGTCCCACGGCAGCCGCGTGCTATAGATACTGCACTCCTTGTGCCCCCATTACATCTGCGAAGATGGGTCCAAGTGAGAATCCGAAACGTCAGGCCAATAAGTTTTTTGTTCCAGTGATCGCATCTTCGTCTTCTCAGCCATCACCCTCGCTGCTGCTCTATCTCCCATTACCGTACTTCTATTATGAGGCTGACTGGGGTAAGCAAAATCGCCTGACCGATCGACTTTTGCTGAGCAGAGGCATGCATACAGGCTGAGAAACCAAAAAAAACAAGTCACCAACAAAACGGAAGCAGAAGAATATGGGCAGTCAGAGCGACAGGGACGTGTAACATGTAAACAAGAGTTAGCTCCAAGGCCTCCAAAATGGCAGTCCTAGAGAGTCAGTAGTATAGCTTCGCAACCTCGGCCATGTCTCTTAGCATTAATTCGACGAGATCGATATATGGGGTGGCTTGAAGCAAATGGAACGATTACTAGGGCAACCAATAACCTCTGCATTTTTGTTGTGTAGCCTCTCCGATGGGGTTCTAGAAACCTACAGCTCTAGCGTCGACGGGGCCGGCGGAGCTCGAGATTGAGCACATAAGCTCAGAACGGGACGAGTGTATCTCGTAACGCGATCGGTGAGCGCCCCTCCACCATTCTACATGCCCGATCGCAACCGAGAGAATAACGAGCCCGCGCACCACTGGTTAGAACGTTGGATACCTAGTCAAAAGGTGACGGGATCGAGCCTCAGGGTTTGACATGATTGGCTGGTGACGGCCAGTGATCGCATCTTCGTCTTCTGAACTACTTCCTGTAACTGGCCTGTTCGCTTATATCAGATTGGTCACGGTTAGCTTAGCGGGTGATCGACCTGGCGAATCGATTGTCAAATAGAAAGAGGATGTAAAATTAGAATGCTGGAAAAAACTGACAATACCTGGAATGTCGTTGGTCGGTGTAGATGATGCCGCTCTCGGAGCCCACCACGTAGTTGTTCTGGTCGTTCGCGAAGAAGGCCATGCAGGTGGGGAAGACATCGAACAGGCCGCCTGAGGGCGCATCGCCGACCTTCAACTTTTCCCTCGGTTCACCAAGCATCTCCACACTCCAGGCGCACATAGAGCCATCTGAGCTCAACGTGATGATGTTGTGGGCATTCTTGGAGCCAATAACCTGAACTGTGTTCAGTGGTTGGGTGTGTGCCCATGAGGTCAGAGTGCTGCGTTGCACGGGTGTCCGCTTCGGTGACCTATAATTGACAACAAAAGATACTTTGTTATTACCGGCAAAGACAAGGATCGGTAACAACATACTGCATATATCATGCGCCGCTGTGCGGCTGCTGGTTGGGCTCGAGAGAGAGCCCGTAAGGCACAACGGAACGAGTGAGTTCCGCAAGAACGGTCAGTGAGCACCCCCTACCAAAAGATACTTTCACGGATGGAAGCGAATATGCGGATCGTAGGTTGTTGTTGTAAAGAAGATGAACACACAATCTCTGGGATAGCACGTGTATTAGTATGCGCTTTCGGTCTCCTACAGGAGGCCATCGTCAGAGACTGTGAGAATGCAGCGTCAAATGAGCAGTTTTTGTAATCAAGCCATGAAGGGGGGGGGGAGATATGAGTGCAGAGGGTGGTATTCGCGATAAGGCTGAGTCCCACGTCGTCTCACGGCGGCGTGACTGCGTACACCCTTGGCTGGGAATTGGGTCTGCTACACATTAAAAACGTCTCAGTCGCGACCGAGCGCATTGATGCAGGACTAGGTGTTCAAAGTATGTACCGGTCCAAAGCTGCCATGCGCAGCGGGGTTAGTAGACGTTAAGAAGAATCAAACTTCGCGGAGTAGTCTCGCTGTATAACTACGCGCTACCTTTGGATGATGCATTATCACAAACGGTTGCCCACACCTCCAAAATGGGTTACAAGTACAACTTCGCTGCCGCAAAGATAGTCGTTCACGACAGAAACATGACAAGTAGAGGACTGATTGAGTCGTGGGTCCCGGATAAGGACACGGTCAATCCACGTATCGAACTACCGCCGACTTACGTAGTTCTGCGCATTCACCCGCAAGCCTTCAGCACTGGTGGTTAATAAGCTATGTCGCTGCTGTCACCTCTGACAATGGAGGCCCAGAACAAACAAACAGTTCCGACACTCGAACAGTCTCATTATTCTTTACTCATACATCCGCCCGGAAAGCGAACATTTGCAAAGAAGATGTACGCGCGATCACTGAGACGGTACATGTATTAGTCTGATCTTTCGGTCTCCTACAAGAGGCCACCGTCATAGACTGTGGCATCAAATGTGCAGCTTTGTAGTTAAGCCATGAAGGGGGGCTAGGAGTGCAGGGGGTAGTGTTCGCGAGAATGTTGAATCCACGCCATCTCACGGCGGCGTGACTGCGTGCAACCTTGGCTGGGAATTGGGTCTCGTCTCTTGGCCACGGGAACGGAGCGCGTGATAGCAGGGGGGTATGTCAACGTGTCTGTTGATAGAGTCGGTGTCAGACACCCAGGCCTCCAGAAGTTCTCGACCTGTATTTTTGCTGGCCTGCGCCACTATCCGCGTGTTTGTGAAATTGAATTCGTGGCTTTCCTCCAGGGTGTGAATGGCGACCTGAGACAACGGGTCACCTCTCCGGACTGCCCGTCTATGCTCCGTTTTCGCGAGTTAAGTTGTCGTCCGGTCTGTCCTGTGTAATGGTGAGGGCAGTCTCGACGTGGGATCTGATAAACGACACCCGATTGCTCTCCTACGTCTAATCGGTCCTTCACACGCATGATTTTGCTGCTGAAATTCTACCTGAAGACGTACTTCGCTTCCGGAGGTACAACTTACGTGCAGGTCAAGGGGGCGCCAATGGGATCGCCGCTTTCGGGCTTCATCGCATAAGCAGTTCTCTAAAAAGTAGAGATCCTAGTTTTCGTAACCCGTACACCGAAATTTCGGACTCGATATGTCGATGATACCTTCGTTGTCATTAAGCGGGAAATGATCCAAGAATTCCATGATGTCCTGAACTCTGTTTTCCCTAACATCCAGTTCACAATGGAGGCGAAAAACAACAACTAGCTGCCGTTCCTGGACGTTCTCGTCCATCGAAAACCCAATGGGCACCTTAAAACGACGGTATATAGGAAAGCCACTAATACACGCCAAATCGTGAGCTACCACAGTAAGCACCCGTTAGGCAACAAACGCAGTTGTGTGCGAATACTCTACAGAAGAGCAGAAACACACTGCAGCGAGCCGGACGACAGAAGGTCTGAACTACACAGGCCTCCAGCGCCTCTTCACGGCCAACGGGTATCCTCGAAACTTCATCGAACGCGGCAGGCAGGCCGGACCAAGCCGAAGTTTGGTAACAGAACGACCAAAAATATTGCGTGCGCTTCCATACATCGACGGTGTTTCTGAGGCGTTCTCCCGTCTCTTCAGACCGCCGGGGGTCGGCATAACCCACCGACCGCAGTCAACAATTCGACGTCTGGTCATGAGGCCTAAGGCCCCTTTGCCACGAGGTGAAACCACGAACATCATCTACCGGATTCTGTATAACTCCTGCGAAGGTAACTACATTGGGGAGACCGGCAAATGACTACAAACTACAGACAACATCTATTTACGCATCCATGGGCCCCGCCCACTAAACCCCTATTACCACCTTTCCCGTAAGACAGGCTGCTTTGGCTGGTAGTATTTTTTTGGGGACCCCCTCCCGATTATTGCCCAGACCCGTGTTGGAGAACACATGAGGGCAGTAAGAAGTCTCTGATGGCAGAACAATGGGCCGATTCCGGACACACGTTCGCCTTCCAGAATGCCAAAATTCTGGACCGCGGATACGACCGCATAGCCAGGGAAACAATCGAGGCCTGGAACACGGAGACAACCTCCATCAACCGTTGTGTGGCTCTTCCTGCGGCCTACCAAGCCCCCCGGGCGCAGCTCAGTGAACGAATGTGCAAACGCAAATCCAGACCAAAAATGGATCCAAACATGCGTGAGTCCATGGCGAATACACACTCAGTCGCCCCTCAACCCGGGTCCGACGAACGCGCAGTCGCCACTAGAGCCGTACCACCCACTATTCCGGCAGACGATTAAAAAAGACAGTCGTGGCAGCGTAAAAAAGATTAGCGGCATTGGACGACAGGTAAAGTCGATGGAGGTACGAACGACGGCCACCCAATGTCTCAACGCCGGCCCCCGATGTAAATTGAGTACATTCCGTCAGCCTCCTCCGTCCGCCACAGTCCCTGTGTGCATGCGGTTGGTGACCACTAAAAGCTGATACACCACTCCCTCATCCGGCGACAAGACGCTCGAGGAATCCCTTCCCGCTCCTTCCTCGCTGACGTAAAACCCGTCTGAACATGACTGTCAGCCACCTATACATACTGTGAGGCACGATACCACACTCACTGTACTCGTACTATTTGTTTGAATCTCCCGTCTCCTTCCCGCGTAACTTGACACTACCCTTCTGACTATACGCCACATCTTTCTGACTGTACATTAACCTTCTGACTGTACACCTGGGGACATTTGGTTGTAAGTGTAGCATTTAGATTTTCCTAATCATGCCAATTATAGGACCGTGTTTCCGTACAAGTCTGCCCTTATTTACACCGTTTCCACGTAGGGGTGGCACGAATTAGGCCGACTCAAGAGACTGAACCTAGACAGGCTATAAAGCAGCTAGATCCAACAGTTGGCGGTCGAATGTACTCCACACTTACCTCCGACGATGGAAGCTTGTTCGCTTTTGAAACGTCAGGACAGTAAAACTATGGTTCCAGAGATCGCCTTTTCTTCTCATCCACACTTGTGGTTGGTTTGATGACGGCTAATAAGCCAGAAATGGTCATTCCAGTACCAGTCTCCCCCGGGTCCTTGTCGGTAATGTCATCAGCAATTTTTTTTCAAAAATACTGACACTGCTGATGCGTCTTAGAGGTTCTGATCGGGCCTGACTAGACCAGACGAATAAACACAAACTTACCGAGTGTCCCAGAGCACAATTTGGCCGGAGTAGGTGCCTCCGATGACGAGATTTGGATGAAACCTGGCCATCGTCGCGGCTGTGATTGGCTCAGAGCAGGTGAAGATGTACTCTGGGCTGGTTTTGCGGGGAAATTTGAGGTTCCAGATCATGCAACAGCCAGCGGGTTCATGCACTACCTCCTCATTGGGACTGTAAGCGGCCAGCACAAGCTCCGGGTAGGTGGTAGACCAGTCCAGACCGACGACTATGCGGTTGCGTGACCAATGATCATCGAAGAAGTGTAGGCAAAATGGCAGCAGATCGTCGCTCCTGTAGGCGGAAGGAGGGGAGGAGGCGAAAATAAAATTCTCTCCAGGATGGCGGGGAGGCAGAAAGTCACCAATCGATCGACTCGATAAAAAACGCTGCAATTTGTCTTATTCTTTCCGGTAAGGAACACTAAACTTAGGTATACTGGTAGCCTGCACGGCATCGGCCTTGTCGGAAGTGGACGTATTTGAACTATACGAACCTCGATGACCATTAGATATAGTGAGGAAATTAAGCCAGCTAGTGGTCTCAGAAGAAGTACTCTTCATTAGGGCAGAAAAAGCGCCTGGAGACGGTTGGTGCTGCTTCGGAGGAAATGAAACTACGATAAAGGTTGGCAGCAGACGGTCGAATTCCACCCGAAATTGTTTGGGCTTATAAAACGACGTAAATCGGTCCACATGAACCTAACCAAAAATCTGTACTTGTTTTACAGGTGACGGTTCGAGCGTCGCCCATCGTGTTCCCCACGAGGTGGACGCGGCACCGGTGGCTTGCATGTGAACTACTTCACAATAAAGCAGACTTGCGAAGCATCTACCTCACTCTCCTCTGCCACCCACCTTGATGCTATAGCAAGACAACGTCAAGACGACCTGGGGTGAGGGCGGACGGGAAGCCGACGAGGTTGAACCTTTCGTCTACGCGTGCTGTGCACGACCCGGTCCAACTGTGAGTATGCTAGGCTACTGAAACGGCGGCTCGAATCTCCCATGTCTGAGTGCCAAAAGAGCCAGACTCAGAAAGAGCCATTGACTGGGATGGTCATCTCGGGTTTACTGGCCGTCATCCGACAGCCATACCGTATTGGAAGTTTGGATGGCCTGGGATTCAAACCCGGATGCTTTCTCCATTGAGCGTCACTTCCAGCACCAAAATCCCCAGGCCTCATTTGGCGAATGTCTAAGACCTTAAGTAGGCAACAGCGTAATAAGGGTCACATGGAAGCGTCATCGCAGTCCGGTTCTCAGTCCTTGGTAGGACAACAGTGTCTCGTCCGCTGGCAGTTGTTGGCGCGTCTGAATTTTTGTGGGGATGAAAAAGGCTGCTGTGCCGTGAAGATGGATTTCCCAGTGACTGCCTAATTCCACCTTGCCTTTTCCATGCGCCTGCGACCTCTTTGAACCTTTCGGCTGAGTGCAAGTGAGATCAGGCGCACAGTAGCTGACATGGCCCGAAGCCCGCGTCCAACATGTGCCACGCACATGTGTGCGGCAGTATTTATGACTTGGGCAGGCTCAGCCGGTACTTTTTGTATTCCCCGGTTGTTGCGTAATACTTCAGCGGAGGGAACTCGCATTCAAAGGATGATGATTTGCTTGCGGTGTTCTGGGGCGCGACATGGGCATCCGTCTACTAACCACGTCTGCCCAGGTACTTTAGGAAGAAGTTGCCACGAGAGCTGTTCACAACAACAACAACGTGGAAATCTGAACTTTTCGATTGTGCTGAGTCATGATAGTGCCCCTAGGGCGGATCACGCGCTAGATCAAAACAGCAGGCGCAATCGGGAATGCGCGCTCATAACAAATGCCAACATTCGGGGTGTGGCGGCACGCCAAGTTGCGGGCTCGCGTCGCGCCGATTGGGATCCGAGCCCCCCGCCCCTTTTTGTTGGTCAAATGTTTGTTGTGAACCAGGGGAGGTGTGGTGGTGCGCCTACCTGCGGGTCTCCACCGTGCCAGTCACCTGCGTTCTCTCCTGCCCCCCCAGTCTTCTCGATACCGTCATGACACCAGGTCCAGGTGGAGGAGGGTGAGAGAGTGCGGTAGATGCTGCGCAAGGTTACGATCGCTATGAACTAATTCACGCACTAGTTACCGTCCCTGCTCCCGAAAATGTCGTGTGCCTCATAATAAAGGCCTACTCTCTCTCTCCCTCTGCAGGCTAACAGCCTCTAATGGGCTAGAAGTGGTCGTCCCAATCGCCTTTGTCCCCACTATTAGCGCTCCCAGATCCATGGTGACGTGCCCGTTAGGACACAAAAAGGCCTGTCCAGAGAGAACTTGCGGTGTGGCCTACGCGTGGCCAGTGGCAGAGGGTTGACGGCATTGTGCGAAGATTGTATGGCTACTGGTGTCGTCACCAGGTGAACTCGACACTGCCGTTTGCGCGTGTTGGGTCATGTGTGCAAGGCTGACCTGGCAGCGGGCAAATCGGGTGTTGATCGGAGGCAGAAAAAGCGTCGCATAAACCGCTCCGACCACGCCTTAACGACGAAGAAGAGATTCATGTTGTCAACAAAATCGCCTGCTGTAACGAGCGTACGCACTAACGGCAAGACTGCGAGTATTGATTCTGCCAGCGTTGGCACTGCCTACACCTACACACCTACGGAGTTGAGTTTTCCAAATCCACCTAGTCCACAGCGAAAAAGCTCCTTAGGAGGCTGCTCAGAAATGAAGCGAGCTGCGTCGTTCCCACATGACCACCAAGGTTTACGCAGTTCAAGTTTTATCGGCGAAGAAAGAAAATGTGGCTAGGAGCGAAGGATCGAATCGCGATATGCTGGAATACAAAGGCTACGTTGTAGGGAATGTGGGGGAATGCAAACGCAAGTAGATCGCTCTGTGCGAAGAACGACCATTTGACTGACTGTTCTTGGGATATTCACATTATGCCCATCTTTTTTATGAGAAGGATAACGGTCCACATATTTTTTCGACATATTCTGGCAGAGCACAGAGGAACACTTCGCGTATCTAACTACCACCCACTTCAACTACTTGTCCTTCCCCCAACGGGCTAGTAACACGGTCCGCACCCCCCCCCCCTCCCCATGATTGAAAAGCACTACTGAAGGCGCCAAAAACAAATGGAGGAGTAGTTTCGGGTTTATTTCCAATCATCAGGCAGACCCAGATCAACTTCGGAGTGGGGACATGAAAGCTGAGCACTGGTCGAGTGGTTATCGATTACTTGAGTAGAACACTGTCATGAAAGTCGCTGTTTCACACCCCGCCGGATGCTTTTGAAACACTCAGTCTACACGAGAAATGAAGTAAGTATTTTCCCCTGAGTGGGGGAACTTTCAATCTATGATAAATAACTACTACCTTTCTCCCAGGAAGGTTAGCCCTTCAACGTCCCTCAGGTAGAACTGAAGGGAAAAGTGCTATATATCTACACACTACTACTACTACTACTACTACTACTACTACTACTACTACTACTACTACTACTACTACTACTACTACTACTACGTCGCTAGGCAACTGCCTGCGAGGGTTCTAGATTGAGCTCCACGGCACAACAGGACAAGCACGTCCTGTGATCCGATCGGTGAACGCTCTTCCGCCACGGGAAAAGGACTGCCCTACTAAGTGCCTGCTGTATACCAGTAGAAAGAATACGATTGATTAGGTTGTCTTATTCACTGCGGCAATAACGCATAATTTTGTTGCAGGACACTGTGCACTGCTAAGCTACTGGATTCCCGAAAATATACGCTTCGTGGAAGAATAGGACTTTTGTGCGTCTGCTGTTCCGGATTCACCCTCGAATGCATCAACAGAAACAACGGGCAAGCACAGGGCATGACAAGCGAATAAAGTTCTTGCATAGGCTGCTTTCTGCAGCCCTTTCCGGTTGCGCCGGCAGCACTACTATTACTACTACTACTGCTGCTGCTACTACTACTACTAGTCGCTGTGCGACTGCCTGCGAGGGTTCCAGATTGAGCTCCAAGGCACAACGGGACAAGCACGTCCCGTGACCTGATCGGTGAGCGGCCACTGTCATAATTGATATTCCCCACTAATGATATTCGCCTGGCCCAATGGTAGTGTCAAACTCCATGACCAAAGATCCCGGGTTCGAATCTCAAGTGATCCACACTTGGGGTTGGGCACGACTGGCTGATGACGGCTAATAAGCCAGAAATGGCCATTCCGGTCTCCCTTGTCTTTGTCGGCTCCATCTCATCTATGTCTACTACTAGTCGCTGTGCGACTGCCTGCGAGGGTTCTAGTATGAGCCCCAAGGCACAACGGAACGAGCATGTTCCGTAACCTGATCGGTGAGCGTCCACTGTCCTGCTAAGGGCCTGCTGTATACCAGTCGAAAACATACGATTAATTAGGCTGTCTCATTCACAACGGCAATAACGCATAATTTTGTTGCAGAGCGCTGTGCATTGCTAAGCTACTGGATTCCGTCGTGGACGAATAGGACTTTTGCGCGCCTGCTGTTCCGAATTCACCCTCGAATGCATCAACAGAAACAACGCAGAAGCACAGGACATGACAAGCTTCCTGCGGTCCTTTTCGGTTGCGCGGGCAACACGCGGTGACCAATCCGTAGCAGCGGGGGCGCGCGCGCGCGAAAGCATCCAATCAGAACTTGATGGGGGAGTTTAGACAAAAGCACGTTCTTTTAATCGAGTATTATCCGTAAGAGACCTAGGAGGTAGGAGAGAGAGGAGTGTCTACTCACAACAAAGGGTGGAGGCAAAGATGACTGACTCACGTTTGCGCCTTCACCTCCTCACCGGAATAGTCAAGAAAGACGTCCTCGGACTCACACAGGGCCCGCTCAATTATGCGCGCGCTGCGGTCGAAGAAACACTTGAAGCCCTCCGAGAGAAGCATCTGCTGCTTCTGTTCTTCTGTCAGTGCAACCACTAAAACCACAGTCGGAAGGGAAAATATGCAGTGAAAAGATGCCGAGCAAGAAGCCGGTCGGGGGGTTGAAAACTGACATCCCCCCCCCCGCCGCCAGCGACCACCAGATCATATGAGTTTTCTCATACAGTCGTCCAACTTCCAAAGAGCAAATTGAAACAGTCAGCAGTGAGTGCACATCTGCCTCAAATATGAGGCCCTTTGACCAACAGCAGTCTAAATTCTGTCGCTTTTTAATTTCCTCAGAAATTATCTACGAAGTTGGAGTGGATCAGTTTGTTCAAGGTTTATAGGCTCAGACCGAGAATTTGATGTATGAATATTTGGGCCAAAGTCCATCAGCCACAGCGGGTAACCGCGTAATATTCATTAACTGCCGACAGGCAGCTAGTAGTATATCCTAGGGTAAGGTGATACCATACTAACAGCACAGGTACTAGCTAAAAGCCCATACACGCGTGTTTCGCTGATATCCTGCCACTGCATGACACAGCTGCAAGGGGTTCGACTCGTCAGTGGGTCCCCCAGCATCCTCCATGTGTTTTCTGGTAGATACTCCAATTTAGAAATTGTCGCTTTTAATTTTCTCAGAAATTATCTACGAAGTTGGGGTAGATCAGTTAATTTCCTCAGATAATTTCTGAGGAAATTAAGAAGCGAAAATTTCTAAATTGGAGCATCTACCAGAAAACACACGGGGAATGCTGGAGGGCCCACTGACGAGCCGAACCCCTCGCGACTGCGCCTTGCAGCGTTAGAATATCGGCGAAACACGCGTGTATGGGCTTTTGGCTAGTACCTGTGCTGTTAATATGGTATCACCTTACCCTAGTCTGAATTTTGAAGAAAAGCTCGTCCTTAGGCTTAAGATAAAGGCCTTCAATGGCAACCGCTGCTTGAGTGAACTTAGTTGAGGGGCGATATACAGTGTGTGACCAAACTCATGATACCTGATGACGGAAGTTGAGACGATCAATTGTAAACAACTAAAATGTTGCGCATTTTAATCGCCCAACGTTATCCGGAAAATACCGCCTTTGTATAAAGAATATGTTTATAAATAATTTTATCAGTTAAAATACTTAGAGCGGAAATCTACGTTGCCTTGCATTCCGGCAGTTTTCTATGCTAATAGCCACCCTAGGCTAAGTTTGGGCACCCGCGCGTGTTCTTGTGCGTGAAGAGAGAAATCTGAACTCGAGGGTCTTACCAGACGGAACTTGGCGTACTTGATAATTGATTTTCTTTCACCATGTATTTCAGATTAAACAAGGCGTAAGAGAGCGGGTTATTTTTAGAAAACCAGGCATCTCATCGACTTCGGAAAGTCAGGTTTGCAAATCTGTGTTTTCACGCCCTAAAACGCAGTTATAACGCTTACTGACATCTCTCTGATAAAACGTCCTGGTACTTTCTTGCCCATTGCGAAGACTCACTAACTCGCTGGCAAAAGGCCGTCCACAAAGTAGCCATGTTAACTTTTAGGCGTGCGCATAGTAATTTTTTGCACGGCCAAGTCTCAACTAATGCGTAATTTAGAAAAGGAACGGTCAAGAGACTAGCAATTTTCGCAATATCTTATTACTTATACGGCCACTCTATCGCGTTGTTACAATACTAGAATGAAGCCCAAAATATAACGAAAATGGCTCCAGACAAAGGTGTCGAGGCACACTGAATACCCTCATTTAATTTAATCCGCCACTCAAAGCGGTTATGGCGTTGCGCGGGACGACATAAGTAGGCTTTTCAGAAAAATCCTGTTAATCGAAGACGGAAAAGCCCAAGATGGGCAAGTCTTCACACAGTTCACTCCGTGAAAATGACACAACTTCAGGAAGGTTCGACGTAGATGTACGTACTGAGTCATATTCTGTTATCTTCGCTCCTGAGATCGAAAAAAGAAAAGTGGCTTACAACCAGGAAATGAAACTAAACGAAAGTAATCTTGGTCTTAATCCCACGAGGACGGTGAACGAATGAGGTTAATGATCCGGTACCAGTACAGCTATCAAGACATGTGTGAAGTAATTATTGACCCAGAGGGGCTTGGATACCGGTCAAATAATAGTGCCGTCCATTAAATTCCTGGTCTGGTTTGTCTAACGAAGCCCTAACCGAAATACCTAGATAATAGTTCCTTGAAAAGAAACCAAATTACCAATAGACCTAATTTGGATATTTTTAAGATGTACGACAATCCGAAATTCAAATTCGAACATGAACTTTTCGTCCCAAGCGGTGAACCCCACAACTGTCAAAAATGTCCACTTTACGCAGATTTTTTGCTGAGAAAAAAAAACCAGAGGGAAGTATTCGAAGAGTTATCACGATGGTGCATAAGTGTTCATAGATTCTGACCTCTAAAAATTAACCTGATCTTTTCAAGGTTCGTGGATAGAGAAGTAAGGCTGGGAGACTCCACTGTCAAGGCCGTGGAGAGCCGCGGAAACGGGAAGTAAAATTTGCAAAGCATCATTTCTTGAATGTCGTCTAAATCCATCCTTTTGGACCTGTTTGATGCTTACAAACGGCTTAAGCATGGAGGTTATCACAATTTACACTGTCAGGAAAGCTTTATAATACATTCTACTTGCTCTTATGAAACAAGCTGCAAAGACTAAGTGAGAGAACACCACTCATTGACATCAGATGAAACTCAGCTGTTACTTGAAACATATAGAGCGTGAGAACAAAACAGCTGGAAAACCTTATGATAGAACCTATTAGAAAAGCCGGATGTAAGCGAGGCAAGGTCGTGCAGACTGACTTGCGTCAAATTGGCCTGACTCCCCCACAACTTCCATACCCAGTTGTTTCATCCCCACTTTTTGAAAGCTTGACTCCAACCAGCGAGTCACCTAAACAGGCTTTTGCACCCAAGGCGACAAATGAATATCAAAATTGCAAAGGCTGCCTATTGGTCTGGCTGCGAGTTATCCAGCATGTCCGTGGGTGGCTGATCGTGGAAAGGACTTCATTGAAACAGACATGTTATCGACTCTAACGATGAAACGGTCGCGGATCATACTGTGGCACTACCTCTAGGCCTGGCTAGCGCGGATCAGATAAATGAATTATCTGGAGAATGGTCGCAAGGCATAGCGGTGTTACGACATGGCGAATGTGCGCAGTTAAAAAAGACTTCGCGGGTCGACGTCCGACACAATCCTCTGACCACAAACTAGTACGCCGGAGGAGTAAGGATGCACATTTATAAATTCCGTGGTTACGACAAGGCGTTTTGGAGCAAGGACTAACTGGGTCTCTCGGACGACCGGATGACTATGGTCCGCGCGCTAGAATAAATTTCCTACCCTCGGTATCAACTGAGCATAGAACAAGATACTCACGTGCTGGCTCTTCAAGTTCGGCCTTGGTTGAAACGGTAGTCTGCCTTGGCACCTCTCCATGAACGCTTTTTAACATTTTCGTGTCCATTCGCTCCACCGGTTCGTCATACGAACCGATTTGTATACGATCATTCTCCGTTGGTGTGTCATCGTAGGTAAGCACTAGTGTTAAACACACTCAGATTAACGAATAGCCATCACGTGGAGGAGGCCTACTGCTAAATTTCAGAAACAAGTACGGTCGAAACTGGGAAGGATCAAATGCAAGCATGCATATGAAAAACTTATAAAAAAGAAAATTTTGCACCGGTCGGCATAACATTGGTTTGGTAAGCGGATTATGGAAGCTGCACAAAATAATAGAACCTGATCTGCTGTGTAGGGTGTCAAAATCTTGAATTTCCTAATCAGAGCGCAAACAAAACCGCAATCAGGTAGTCAGGGTGACCCTATAAGGAAGACGGCCGTAACACAAACCTGCTGCCGTCGTTGCAAACTGGCAGGGGCCGAATTGCATAAACATCAGGAGCTACTTCAATATTCTTGGAGTTTACGATGCGGTTCAGCCGCTGACATCGGACAGTAGCTTACTACGTATTCTATTCAGGCAAGCAAAATGCAATTTCCAAGCGTTGATGCAGTTAGCGCTGGACGCAGAAACAGGCATACAATGGTTATAAAGAAACTTCAACTGAACTGTAATGCCATTTATCTTAAACAACGAATTCAAGTGTGCTGAGCACGACACAATGCCGCAATAACCGGTGCAGTGATGAATGCAAAAAGTGTCTGCAGCAATATGTTAGCTTGCTACCCATAAACAACGGATTAAAACGTGCTTGACATGCTCACAATTGCTTTGCACAAAGCGAGGCCTGATTAGGATGGCGTTAAGTACACTGCAGGGTAATGCGAATTGTCTTACCATAGTAATCCATCCCAGCGGCTGAAAGCAACAGGCAAAATGTAAACGGCTTGATGAGGTTTGCATGATCAAATGCGATAGAAAGTCACCGGCAGAGCGGGAGACGTAGGTCTCACCCCAGCTAAAAAATAATGCTAACCACGGCAGTTAAATTAGTTGTGAACTGCCGTTTTCAAACAATGACTTTCACACAAACAACGAGAATTCTTGCGATCATGATACAAGGAACGAAATCAGCCAAAATAAGTGTATGGAACCCACCACTTTCGTCCGGTTCAGCCTCTGCCGTCTGAATCTCCTTGTCATAAGTCTCGGAGGCATGTGGCTTAATATCGAATTCTGAGACCTGACAAACTTGGAGTTTCCTTCGCCGCCCAGAGCCAATTCTGACTCTTATAAAAAATAAAAGCAGGAAACCCGAAATACCCGAGACGGTTGGGCGAGATGTGTCCATCGACGGTTTGTGCGCTTGACAGAGGGACAGCAGGTTCCTGCAAGGGTTCTATGCCCAAATTTTTAAGGATGGCGTCCGCTTCACCGCGCAAATCGGCTGTTGAGCTGGCTCCGCTATTATGTCCACTAAGGGCTTGTCTGCGGTTCTCTTCTCTGCGTAACTTATCTTCCCTAAGAGCTCGAAGTTTGGCTTTTTTGAGCTCTATTTCCGCCTTTCTATCCGCACCAGCAGACATTACAGACAATACGGGGAAAACTCTGGGGTTTGTACGTCTAAGTGTGTTAGTTCAAGGTCAGAACTCGACGTTTAGGAAGGGAAGTGTAATCGAAAGCACCGAGTAAATTCTCGAATAACGCTTGATCCTAAGCAAGCGTCCGGACCCAATAATACCTGAAAAGTATACGCTCACCTTAAACAAAGTCCCAACTAGCAAAGTTGCGGAATATCAAAAGGGAAAAAAGGACTATGCTCATCCGCAAAATAGGGCGATAATCAAAATGTGAAAAGTATCACCGGCACTACCACAGCACAGTAAGCGCATTTGAGGGAAGACTGAATGTCAGAGGACTCTTCGGTATCGCTTGCTGGTTAGCATTTATAGGTTCATCGTGCCCTCGGGAAGGGCCTACCCTGTTCCTCCATATTTCTTCGCGAAGTAGTTTTTGCTTAAGAATGTTTCCTTCAAAATCGAACGTTTACTGATCAGATCAGATCAGATCAGATTTATTAAGGGAAAAGTAGGCGAAAGCCTTTGAACTCCCTTTTGGTTACAATAACGTCATAAAAAAACAATGTGTAAGGCAAGTGTGAAAAAATTAGGTAAGTAATTACATACAACAAGCATTGGTCACTGGTATGAATTTGTCTGTGAATGCCTTCTGTGTCAAGATTGTACAAGATCCAGTACGGCAATGAATGGACCAAGTAATATCAAAGCAAGCGCATATGTGGCGGTCAGGAGATATCGAAAATTGTAAAACGTAATGTTACTAAAATATAGGGAGTAGCATGCTTTGTAACGTAAAACGTTGGATGGGACGGGTGGCACATGGGGAGGGGGGTTCGTTAGTTTCTGATGCTGTGGAGGTACATATCCCTGTACTGGTCAAGCTTTCTCTTAAATGAGTCCACGGATGAGGACATGACGACATCCACAGGTAGGGCGTTCCATGCCTTTACCACTCTGTGGCTGAAGAAGGACCTTCTTGCGTCCAGTCTCGCTCCTGTCACACGTAGTTTCAGAGGGTGTCCTCTCAAGCTAGTAGTGGTGGCCAGCTCAAAGAAGTCGCCGGATGCGAGGCAGCAGTTCTGACCCCGTAACATTCTAAACGTTTGAATTAAGTCGCCACGGAGTTGTCTGTAGTCCAGGGGAAAGAGGTTAAGATTTGAAATTGATACGAATTTTTTCCTTTGCTTTGTTAGTAGTTTACCATTTTCTAAAAAATGTCTAATTTGGAATTTGTGGGTATTATCATCGAACGTGTTCTATTTGAAACGACAAACCTCGGGTGGAAGTGAAAAACAATGCATACTTTGCAAAGCACTACTGTTATTGTGTTTTCCTTTCTTGGTCCTCCAGGACGAGTTCCTGTTATCTGCCCAGGAAGTCACACACTGCCTTCAATGCTATACTAAGCATTCCATCTATCAATTCGTGGTAAATAATAATGCTACGCTTTTCCTAAGAATGCAAACGAAATGAAGATCACTTGCGGTGTTCAATTTCTTTAATTAAGACTGTTCGTCACTTTTCTCACAATATGAGCGTTTATAACTTTGTGTTTTTGCCCGGGTCTTAATGAAAGCCTCCTAAATCTTCATGGATGACGGACGAGCAATCAAAAACGGTAAGGCAACGAGCTAGTAAAATGAATCCGAACACAACTATATTGCGGTATTTCGCGGCTGCTGTGCAATTGTCTAAGCAAATACCTAAATCTCGTGAATTACCACAGCAGTAAATGAGAAGTTTCTCATCATTCGAAAACTGCTCTAAACTATCACTGTTAAAATATCCATGACATTTCGGATTTTTCTTGGGTTCCATCTTCAATTCTTTTCTCTGGCTTAGCCTGCAGATCATGTCCGGCATGCGTATTTTTCGAGAAAGTGGTCCTAGTCTCAGGGCCCGTGTCGTCAAATGACTGAGTCATCTACAAATAATGTCAACTCCACAAAATGTTTAAAGTCGCATTCTTCATGTGCATCAGCGCACGAATAGGTTTAAATTTTACGGATGGAAGAGAACATGCGAATCCCAGGTTTTTCTTGTAAAGAAGATGAACGCGCAATCTGTAGGAGAGTGTGTGCATTAGTCTGCGCTTTCGGTCTCGTACATGAGCCCATCGTCAGAGACTGTGAGAATGGACCGTCGAACGAGCAGTTTTTTAGTCAAGCCATGAAAAAGGGGAGAGGACGCAGGGGGTGGTTTTCGCAGCTAAGCTTTCGGCACATATGGGTCTGCGAAGAACTGGCACCGAAGAGCCTAAGCTAGAAGACTGCCGTGAATACTGAGGTGGGTCAGTCAGTCAGTCAGTCAGTCAGTGTTTTTGAGGGAAATAGGCTTACGCCTTTGAACTCCCTATTTGTAAATAAAAAATCGATAAACAAGCAAAAATGTGAAGAAATTACAGCATTAAGTGAATGCAGACATTGATTCACACATGTCACTAGTCATATGGCTAAAAGGTCACATAATCCGCTTGTTGCTGCAGCACATATCTGTCAAGGCGACATTTAAATGTCTCCACAGATTGAGACATAACAACCGTCTCGGGCAGGTTATTCCACGGTTCCACGACACGGTTGGAGAAGAAATATTTTCTCACATTCAGTGTACCCTGTGACACAGGTAGCTTGAAGGGATGTCCCCGGAGGTGAGTTGTAGTGGCGAGCAGGAAAAAGTCATCGCACCGAAGGGCACAATCCAAGCCGCGCACTATACGGAAAGTTTGTATCATGTCTCCGCGCAACTGCCTATAACTCAGAGGATAGAGATTAAGGTTAGTTAAGCGGATCTCGTATGGCAGTGCAATTTGACCTCTTACTAATTTTGTGGCTCGCCTCTGCACCCTTTCGAGCAGATCGTAATCCTGATGCGTCTACGGTCTCCAGGCCTGAATTGCATATTCGAGATGGGGCCTTATAAACGTGCCGAAGACTTTGGTGAAGCAGTCTTCATCGAAAACTACGAATGCCCGCTTGATGGCATAAAGCATCGACGTTGCAGCCTTGTCCGCCTTACAGCATTGTGTTGAAGGCTTTAGGCTGTCTGCAACCTAAACTCCGAGATCTTTCTGAGTTTCTGCTTCTCGGAGTGGCATTCCGTTCAGATGGTATTGCCGCGTACTAGGGCTCTGATTTCCGAGGCACAGAATGGTGCATTTGTTCAAATTGAAGGACAAGAGCCATCTGCGGGACCACTCGTCCAACCGACAAAGATTTTCTTGGAAGTTGGTCTCATCGGCAGCATTCTGGATGACTTTCCAGATTTTTATGTCATCCGCAAACATGGCACAATCACAGTCCAACCCATCTACACAATCATTGATGAACAAGAGAAAGAGAGTTGGTCCGAGCACCGAGCCTTGTGGGACCCCACTCTCTGTGAATGTGCACCTTGATTGCTGTTGTTCTACGCAGACAATTTGGGAGCGGCCGACAAGGAAATTTTCGATCCATTTGAGAAGTTTGCCACCGATGCCCATAATTCTCAACTTGTGTAGGAGACGCTGGTGCGGAACACTGTCAAACGCCTTCCGAAAATCAATATAGGCAACATGCACGGTGTGTTTTGCGTCCAGGGCTCGTGTCCAACTTTGCAATGTGTATAGCAAGTTCGTAACACATGATCTTCCCCTACGGAAACCATATTGTGTAGTGGACAAGAGGTTGTGGGTTTCCAAGTAAGCCATCAACTCCTTTTTGATTGTTTTCTCCATCACTTTGCAGCAGATTGATGTCAGACTGACGGGTCTGTAGTTTGTCGCCTGAGCACGACTACCGCTTTTGTAAAGGGGTGTAATGTGGGCCGTCTTCCAGTCTGTGGGAAGAATTCCAGCATCAAACGATTTTTGGCACAGAAAGGATAGTGGCTTGGCCAGCTGTTGGGCAAGCTCAAAGAGCATCTTTGCTGGGATCTCGTCCGGACCGGGAGATTTACATTCCTTCAAGCTTTTCAGTTCTTCCAAAACCGCTTCTTCTCGAAGCACAATATTTTCGATAGTGGGATCTCTCTTGTTCTCAGAATTAGATGGGGTAAAGTCCGCTTCTCTTGTGAAAACGGATCGGAAAAATTGAGAAAATTGCTCAGCCTTATTTGTACTGTCCGATATCTCCAAGCCGTCATCACCCCTCATAACAGGAATAAGATTCCTGTTACGTGTGCTTTTCCGCAAATAGCTGTAGAGCAATTTCGGATTTTTAACGGCTCGGTGGAGCAAATTACTCTCAAAATCCCGTCGCCTCCTGAAAATCAGGCTTTTCACCTTATTCCTTTGAATTTTGTATTCTGTAAACGCTGCATTATTGTTGTTCTCGCGAAATTTTTTCCATAACCTACCTTTCTTGGTGATCTCCCTTGTGAGTTCTCGTGTAAGCCACTAAGGGCGGTTGGATGTCCTAGGCTTTGATAAGGGACAGTGGTTCTTCATTAGATGCAGTAAACGATCCTCGAATAAATTCCAGTCCTCGTTAACGTTTCCGGAGAAGAGAACATCCCAGTCTATTTGTGATGCCTCAGCTCTCATTTGGCGAAAGTCCCCTTTCCATATATTTGGCCTCGTATTGTCTTTTGTACACGGTTCAGAAAGGTTGCACAAGGTCTTCGCAAGCCAATGACAGGGGTGTTACTCAATGACCGCCATTTGCGCCCACACAAGTGCCGCGCAGTCAATGAACATAAAAGGCCACAGTGTGCGGCATTTTTTGACGAATCTGTTACTGATTCCCTTGACCGAACAACATCGATTTTGGCAAAATCGAGGCAGGAGTTAAAACGCATGAACCTAGATCAAAAGTTTGGGAAATTATAACCTGAATGCAAAACAATCGAAAATGTGGTGCACAATCTATCTTCCAGGCAATAAACTGAAGAAGAATTAAGAATGCTGAGTCTTGAAGCCAAATTTACTACGGCGGATGCTAAACCAGCCGAATTTGTCGCTGCACTTGAAGCCATGCTAGTAAGAACCAACGCAACCGACGAGGCCAAACTCACCGTGCGCCAGAATGTCG